AACGGGAGAGGCCACAACAGTGAGAGGCCCGCGTACCGCAAAAAAAAAAAAAAAAATGCTGCAGCTTGAAGTGAGCTGCTTTGATAGATGATTGATGAATTTCTGCCAGGTTTTGCTTCCATAGGCTTTTTTTTCCCCCCAGGGACACGAATATTTCTGAGCATTGAGATTCTAAAGTGACTGATAGAAAAATAATGAAACAGAATAGGCAAGGATGTTGCTCTGGACAAAAGGTGACACTGAGTGTTAAGGGTTGGCGTTGGAGTGGCAAGGATATGCCTCGGTGATGCCGGGGAGGGCGAGGGGCTGGTCTGGGGATGTTGCTGGTGTCCAAGCTGCCACCTCCCCAGAGAAGGCCAGCAGTCAGAGCAGCCCTCACAGAGAGGACCGGTAGGATGACTGGGCAGGTGGGGGGAAGTGGGAGGAGACAGGCTGGGTAGGCTGTACTGAGCTACAGGTGGCCGTGAGGACTGTCTCTGGGCTCACTGGAATGGCTCACTGGGATGTCCCTGAGCCCATCTCCCAAAGCTGTCTTTGGTCTCAGCGTTCAGTTGGCTGGGAGTCCTCTCAGCAGTGAGCTGCCATTTGTTTCTCTCGGTTGTGGGAATATTGCAACTCCTTGCTTTCCCTTCTTCACATTGGGTAGCAGAAGGCCTAACTCCAGATTTGGGGGTCGTCTTCAGCAGGTGAGGGGGTCTGGTGGTGTTTTGTGTAACTCAAGGTCACGGGCATCCCCTGCAGTGGCCCTCATGTTTGTCATGGGCAGGTGGCCGTCACCTCAGCACTGCCATGGCTCATGGTGCTTGAGAAGCATCTCAATCTGAGCCTTGGAGCCTCTGTATAGGCCTGACACTCATAAATCTATGTGTTTCCATCTGTCTTCTCTTCCATCTGGAGAGGGCGCTGTTTAAAACATAGCTGTAAAACACAGCTTTCACTGTCTTGCTGAAATCTCCTGAGTCACCTCAGTGCCCTCAGGAAAAGGTTCAAACTCCTTAACGTGGCTTCGAAGAACACTCTGTAATCTGGCTTCTCAGGGGACCCCGCACAACAGCTTCACTGAAGAAATGCACCTCGTGCATCTCTCGCCTCGGTCTCCGTGTCTTTGCACACGCTGTTCCCTCTGTCCGGCACACCCTTTTCATTGTGTCCCCCCTGGTGAACTCGTATCCACCTGTCAAGTCCCAGCTCTGATGTTCCCTCCTTTCTGCTCCTGTCTCCTTCGTGCTGCTCTCCCAGCTCCTCATAGACTTTTCTGCTCTGACTCAGACAGCTGCTCCCACTCAATGGACCCTTCTCAGGTCCAGGGACAAGGGCTTCCTCCTCTCTGCCTTTCTGTTGAAATGGAATTGAGTGAATTTGTTTAACATCTGCTCTGGGAGAGATGTCATGCTAGGGCTTCAGCCACGTGTTTCATCGAATCCTCACAACCCTGAGAGGTAAGGATTGCTATTCCCATTTGCAGACAAGGGGGCTGAGCTCAGAGGTTAAACAAGTTGTCCCTAATCCCCCATCTTATAATCATCATAATAGCTGACACTGAGCATTTCCCCTGGGCAAGGCACTCTTTTGGAGTTCTCTGTGTATTAACTCATATCATCTTTGCAACAGCCCTGCGCAGTGAGTACTATCATTAGGTCCATTTCACAGATGAGGAAACTGAGTTCCAGAGACTTCCCTCGTGGTCCAGTGGTAAAGACTCCACACTCCCAGTGCAGGGGACCCAGGTTAGATTCCTGGTCAGGAAACTAGATCCCAAATGCTGCAACTAGGCTAAGGGAGCCTGCATGCCACAATGAAGATCCCACGTGCCACAACTAAGACCCGACGCAGCCAAATAAATACATAAATATTAAAAATAAAAACAAAAACAAAAAGAAAAGAAACTGAGTTCCAAGCGGACTCAAGGTCATGGAGCCAGTAGGTGGAGGAGCCAGGCTTTGAACCCAGTCAGTCTAGCCTCAGGCTAATTAGCAAGCCTGGGATTTGAAGTCAGACTTACTTAGGGAGAGTTGACCTATACCTATTCCTTTACCTCTCAGGAAAGCCATTGTGCCATCCTTGCACTGCTTGTGAGGGTCCCTGACAGTAGGGCGGGCCTGGAGTTCCATCTTGGTGCTCCTGTAGCTCTGCCCAGCTTCTGGAGAAGGTGGTTTTTCTGTCGAAAATACCTGTTTGTCATTCGGATGGCGCCTTCCTGCCTTGGGCCCAGCTGTGTGCTGACCGGCACTGTGGCCGCTTGGGCGTTGGTTCCCCTGAGCCCAGCGGCCTCGTGGCTGACCCCTGTCCTCCTCTGTTGCAGGACAGTGCCAGGGGGACGGGTACCGCGTTGGCTTTGGCCGGTGTGCAGGAAAAGTGCTGCCTGCCCGCTCAGCGGCCTGAGGTTCTCTCTGCTTTCCTGGAAACACAAGCCTTGAGCACTGCCCTCTCCACCTCCCTGCGGGGGACCAGGGGCCCCCACTGAAGCCGCAGGCCTGGTTCTTCATTCAGTAATAAATCAAGCCATTGTGCTCCCTCTCCATCTGGGCCTGGCACGGCTCTGAATGCACAACGTCTCCTCGTGTTCTTGCTTTGACCCAGTGGGTCAGGGTGTGTACCGCTTCCTTGAGAGACATTCATTCATTCATTTTCTCGTTTTTATTAGTGAGGCTGAGGGTCTGCTGTTTCTCCTCAGACATTCTAGAGCTCCCACTATTCTCTGGAACATGGAAGAAAGAATGGCACTTGTATTAGCTCAGAGTCCTCCAGAGAAATACGACCAAGTAGATGTGTATACAGAGAGAGACGTTTATTTTGAGGAACTGGCTTATGTGATTGCGGAGGCTGGCAAGTCCAAAATCTGCAGGGTGGGCCACAGGCTGGAGACCCAGGGAAGAGCTGCAGTTTGAGTCTGAAGGTGGTCTGCTGGAGAATCCCCTCTTCCAGGGAGATCAGGCTTTTTTCTCTTAAGGCCTTCAGCAGACTAGATGAAGCCCACCCATATTATGGAGGATAATCTGCTTTACTCAAAGTCCACTGACTTAGATGTTAATCTCACCTGAAAACTACCTTCACAGCCACATGTACACTGATGTTTGAACAAATATCTGAGTACCGTGGTTCAGCCAAGTTGACGCATAAATTTACGCACCACAGTACCCCTCACATTCAGTATTTCTTGGGGCCAACTGATGGATGTACGTGGGGTGCAGACTTAGTTCAAGGGCCCTGTAGCCATATCAGCACATTATGAACCTTTGGCTGAGCTCCCAAGTGAAGGGGTCACACACCTGAACTGTGAGAGGGCAGGAAAAGGGCCAGGGGCTTGCTTTTCTCCCCTTGCAAGCCCACCAGAGTCAGGAGAGTGAGCCTTGCCCCATCTCCTCTGCCCTGCCCGCTGCAGACAGGCAGCCTGGTTCCTGGTGACCACAGGGGAAGAGGATGCCTGGTGACACATCTTGGGCCTAATGGACCCCACACCAGGGCCTGGGAGGATGACTGAGCCTGCGGAGCCTGCCCATTAGATCACGCTACTCATTCATTCATTTATTCACCAAATCGTTATTGAGTGCCTTCTCTGTGCCAGGCACTGTACTAGGCACAAGAGGTGCAGCAGTCACAGAATAGCTGTGACTTATGATGCCCTTGTGCCCTGTGATGATTACTTCCTAGCGGAGGGAGATAGACAGGAAACAAATGGACAAGGAAAAGATACGTACTATTGAAACGGAGCAGGACCCTACGGTCTATGCCCCCCATGTCCTCCGCCTGCCTTCTGTCTGTGGAAGAACTTTAGCCAAAGGATAAGTTTAATCAGAGAAGTGAGAAAATGCAGAAACAAAGGAAAACAGTCAAAGGAGACCAAATAATAATAGTTTAGTCATTAAGCATAGTCAAGGACCTTTAGTTCCTTCTCAAGGGCTGTAGATAATATTCTGAGCCATATCCTGTGAGCTGTCTTATAGATACTGAAACCCCCACCAGGTGGAGAAGTTAACTACCTGATGACCAGACTGTAGCCATGACATAAACTGCCACAATTCCGAGAATTGGCCTCAAAGAAATGGAAACAAACCAACCCTGCAACTGAAGATTAACTGTACTTAAAACCATCAAGATGACGGTGGTCAGACCACCGATGACCAGTTTCAAGATGACTGTCAGAACTGTTTCTGCGTGTAGCCCCCTCCCTCTGTCTATAAAAGCTCTTGCCCCCTGATTGTCGCTTGCGGGGGAGTCAGCCTTAGGACAGGAGCCCGCCCTCCACCTCCACCCCCAGCATCCAAAGTAAAGCAAACTTTCCTTTCCACCAACCTTGCCTCTTCATTGGCTTTGAGTGGCTAGCAGCCGGACCCCACTTTCAGTTACACTATGACAGATGGGGATAGATTCTATGGAACAGTGGGGGACATGGGTGCCGTTATAAACAGGGTAGTCAGAGAAGGCCTTAGTGCCTCTGGTTCTTAGTGCTTTTTTGCTAGACAGCTGAAGAAAGTGAGGGATCAAGGCAGATGGACATCTGGGGCAGAGTGCTCCAGGCAGAGGGTCCAGCCAGTGCAAAGACCTGAGAGTGGAGCATGTTTATCAATTCTAAGGAACATTAAGGTATTTCTTTCTCACCTAAAAGCATTTTGGAGCCAGGAAGTCTGGAGTTTGTATGGCAACTCCACAGTGTCATTAGGGACCCAGGGTCCTCATCCTCAGCACATGGGGTTCAACCTCAAGGTCACCGCATGGTGCAAAAAGCTGCTGGAGCTCCAGCCAATACACCCAAGTTCCAGGCTTGCAGAAAGAAAAATTAAAGAGGTGAGGGTTGCGGGGCTGAAGGGCTGAAGGGCCCTCCTCCTAGATGAGTTAGGTACCCTTTGAGCAGCCTTCCTGGGAACCCCATACTATGCTTTTCTTGCGTTTTATTGCCAAGAATGTAGTCACAAGACCACACCTCATTGCAAGGAAGGCTGGGAATATAGTCTTTTAACTGAACACATTGCTTCCTCAGCTTAAAATCAGAGCTCGACTGCTAAAGAAGAAGGGGAGAGTGAATCCTCGGGGGTGGGGTGCAGCTCGTAGTCTCTGCCACACACAGGCTGGGAAGCATCATGCTCTGAGGCTGAACTGGTCTTGCACAGCTGATTTTATTCCACAAAGCTGCACCCTGGGGCTATGGTCTTCAATGCTTTGCTGATTTCAGTGGAAATCCTGTACGGTAAGTCCCCTGCATGCGAATGAGTTCCGTTCCAAGGGTGCGTTCGTAAGTCCAATTTGTTCGAAAGTCCAACAAAGTTAACCTAGGTGCCCAACTAACACAATCGGCTGTATACTGCTGCTTTTCACTTGCTTCCAGACATCCTGGCCTTGAAATAAAGATACTGTACTACTGTACTCTATACAGTACTGCACAGTAAAGTGCACAAAAGCACAACCACTTGTCGAGGATGCACGCATGTGACAATATACTCCAGACGTGTGAACTAACTTAACGCGATTGGACATGCAAACGCATGTTTGCATCTTTGAAAGTTCACAACTTGAAGGTTCGTAGGTAGGGGACTTACTGTAGAGTCACCAGGGTCTCCCAGAGCCCTACTGTCTAGATAAGATTGATCCAAACACGTATTCTCTGAATTTGGAAGACCGAAGTCTTCCTTGGGTTTGTTCTGAATTCCTGTGGGCTGTGTTCCCAGGGCCACCTCTGCTCCTGCTTGCTCCACTGAAATCTCTGTTCTCCGCCTTGTGTTTGGGATTGTTCCCTTAGCTCTATCTCCTGGCATCAACATGCATGAGTGACCCATCTTGTTTTCCTCACCTACACCTAAAGAGCTATTGCACATGGCAGATCTTCACCAGAGGTCCCTGGGTCGAGGGCAAAAGTCATCTAAAATCATTATCAATCCACTTGCCCGCTGGCACCAGAGAGTGCTGATGCCAGCTATGGAGATCACATACTTATCCCCTCACTGTGCATTTAATGGGCTTAGCGGCTGGTGATGCTGGATGAACCCGCTGGATCTGGCCCTGGAGTCTGAGACACACACAGGGTGGATGTTAATAGGGGGTCTGGTGTGGGATTTCTCCAACGATTACTTTCCCTTAACCTTCAGCAACATGAGCCTCTTTGTTTTCCAGCCTCGATCTCAAAATTCCCATTGCCAGCTCCAGATGAGAAGTGAATTTAATAGTCTAGTTCGGGAACCGAGCTCACTGAAACCTACCTGTGTATAATGGTAATGAAATAGACAAAATGCGTTTCATGGCCAAATCTTCTCTTTTTAACAATGGTATGTTAAGAACCAGAGACGTTTGATCAAATAGATGGAGCTGACAGATCTGGTGATGAACATACCAAGGCAAATTGGCTGTAATTATCACTGTATCTTCCTTATTAATTCATACTTCATTCACGCTTCCTGTTTTAACCAGTGGCCCATGATGAATCTAAACGGATGACTATGCAACTGAGAATAGAATCCTTTTTTTTTTTTTTGTGGTACGCGGACCTCTCACTGTTGTGGCTTCTCCCGTTGCGGAGCACAGGCTCCGGACGCGCAGGCTCACTGGCCGTGGCTCACGGGCCCAGCCGCTCAGCGGCATGTGGGATCCTCCCGGACCGGGGCGCGAACCCGTGTCCCCTGCATCGGCAGGCGGACCCTCAACCACTGCGCCACCAGGGAAGCCCTAGAATCCATTTGAAACTTCACTTGAGGAGGAGGAGCAAGCCCAGTGATGTTTCTGCCAGGATGCGGCCTGCTGGAGGGTGTCAGAGGGTGCCGGCTGGACTCACGGGCGTGCCACTGTCCTGGGCCTGGCAGGCACTGGGTACCAGGGCCCAGGAGCCCCTGCCCTGGGCGGGTGGGGAGCCCTTAGGGAAGAGGAGCCTTGTTGCTTTCACCGTGGGACTTCCCTGCCCTGCGCCTGCTCACTCACTCTGGTTTACCTTAAAATGCCATTTACAGGGCTTCCCTGGTGGCGCAGTGGTTGAGAATATGCCTGCCGATGCAGGGGACACGGGTTCGAGCCCTGGTCTGGGAGGATCCCGCATGCCGCGGAGCAACGGGGTCCGTGAGCCACAGCTACTGAGCCTGCGCGTCAGGAGCCTGTGCTCCGCAACGAGAGGCCGCGATAGTGAGAGGCCCGCGCACCGCGATGAAGAGTGGCCCCCACTCGCCGCAACTAGAGAAAGCCCTCGCACAGAAACGAAGACCCAACACAGCCAAAAATAAATTAAAAAATAATTTTAAAAAAAGCCATTTAGAGCTATTCTGAGGATTAGGGTGGATTTCAGCCAAGATAATGTTTTTGAAGGCAAGGGAACTTTAGGATTTTTTTTTTTTTTTGGCTCCACCCGTCAGCATGTGAGATCCTAGTTCCCCGACCAGGGATCGAACCCACGCCCCCTGCACTGGAAGCGCGGGGTCTTAACCACTGGGCCACCAGGGAAGTCTGGGAACTTTAGGATTTTAAGTATCATAATTAATAATTATCTCAAAGAGTCTCGATACCAAAATGGACCTCCAAAGTGT